GTCCTGCTTCCCTCTTCTCTCCCCCGCTCTGAGAAGCTCACCCTCCCGCAACCAGACACAGGCTGGTTTTCCCGAAAGCGCATGAATTGGAGGGCCTAGCGACATAGCCATTACGCTAGCCATTACGCTAACTGCTGGTTCCCAATTTTTTTTTTTTTTTGAGAGGTTTTTGCTATAGGGCGCGTGCGCTCGCCAGAAAGAGAGAAACAGAGAGACAGAGACAGAAAGCGAGAAATCACCCCCCCGGGGGATGGCCACACTGCAATCCCTTCTCCTTCATTCTCCTCTCGGGATCTTGGGCATGCACACACACGCACCTGACATGAGTTTCAAGCCACCGGGTCCAGGATTCGAACTGCGGTCGACTACGTGGGAGTCCAGCGACATAGCCATTACGCTAACTGCTGGTCCCTAGGCTGCCACTGTTGTTAAGGCTGAGAGATGCCCCACTGCACGGCAGCATGACAGACATTTGGGCTGTCCCACCTTCAGCTGCCACGACCAGGTCATGGCCAGGTTTGTGGGGACGTGTGTTCTCAGTTCCTGTGGGCACATCCCAGGGTCACAGGTGACTCTAGTCTAGCGCACACTTCCAAAGAGTCGTGGTGCTTTACAATACGTCCTCAGAGGCAGCGAGCGAGGCTCTGGTTTTAATTTCATTAACGAGACACACACACCAACGGGAATCGCGGCCAGGCCCTTGCCCCCTGAGATCCGCCCGCCCCAGCCGTCCGGTTACCGAGGACCCCAATGCATGGCTGGTCCAGCCTATTCAGGTGAGAATGCCAGTGTCTGTGCAGCTTGGGCCTCACGCAGCAGCACCCTACCCCCCGTGCCACAGTGGCTGAGTCTGGTTTTAACTCGTAAATACATCCTGGTGCCTGGAGTCCAGCCAGGGCAGCACACTGGCTCCATCTGAGTCTAGCAGCGCCACTCATGGGATGAAGCGCCAGCACCAGCGCCAGCCACACGCAGCTCTTGCTCAGACTGTTCACTGAGCACCAGGCTCTGCTGTCTCAGCCCTTGCCCTGCATCCTGGACCAACCACTCCCACAACCCTGTGAGGTGGGAGCTACAGTCAACCCCCACCCCCACGCTGGGTGGCAGGGCTGCCAAGGAGATTTGAGGTCAACCTGCCGGGCAGGCACTGTGCCAGGACTGTAGCCCAGGCCCTCGCCCTGGGGCCTGCCCCCGCTCCTTGGTGCTCAGTGCTCCCCTGTGCTCGTAGGACCGGAGCAGACAGCCCAGGGCCCGGGCCCTGGCCTGGTCTCTGTCCAGCAGTCCCTGTGCAGCCACCTGCGTTCCCAGCATTCAGAATGGCAGAAAACAGTCCAGCGAGGCCAAACCTCATTCGAGGGCAGTGTCTAGGCTACGACCCAAGTCCAGCCAGAAGGTGCCCCTCTCATGCTGGACGCATCCTCCAACAGAGCTCCCTGCCCTGACTCTGCACCTCAGAGCCCAGGCGTCCAGGCCTCCCGAGAGATGAGCCCCACCGAGCTTTCCTCCCTTCACCTTCCAGGGCAGCGATGGCTGTCTGCAGGCATCAGCTGGCTCTCTACGTCGCCGAGTTCCGGGCTCTGTCCGGCCACCAATCCCGGGGGACACTGCTACAGCAGCCTCGTCCCGAGGCCCTCCAATTCGTGCGCTTTCGGGAAAACCAGCCTGTGTCTGGTTGCGGGAGGGTGAGCTTCTCAGAGCGGGGAAGAGAAGAGGGAAGCAGGACAGAAATACAGGAGGGACCCCTTCTCCAGACATGTGTCCCCACTGAGCGGCAGGTGCCTGTGCGAGACCCTCGACAGCTCCACTCCCCACTCCCCGGGCTAAGAGTCATCCCCGTCCCCAAATCTCAAGGTCAGAATGGGCCTCTCTGAGTGAAGTTCAGCCCCTCCACACGGGAGGTCCCACAGC